CAGATTGCAGCATTGAATGCTAAATGTCGCAGTCATTCAGAAAATTAGTGCAATATGCTTGGATTATTATTAGTGATATTTTTGGGAACGATATCACTGCTCAGTCTTATCTGTTGTCTTTTTGTTTTTTCTCTTCGATTCCTGTGTTTATTTGTTTAAGTCGTGTTTTATGATCGGCATTTTTGTTAGATATGGGATTTGGCTGTAAATAGGACGTGGTCATCAATAGCGTGTAGACAGACGATGGTTGGACATACCAATTTTGTTCGTTGCATCCAGGTATGGAGAGCTGAGAAGATTTTATCGATTTGACGATCACTTCACTGAATCGATTTTTTATGATTCAGTTTAATGCTAATTAATTGTTTTTGGGAGATAGATTTATAGGGGCGTTGTGTTTGTAAAAAATTAGTTTTCTGGAATTTTGTTGTCAAATGACAGTGAAACTGTTTTAAGAATTACAGCGATAAGTATTCGAATGATATCTTAAGGATTGTATCAATGATTTTATTTTTCGAAGTTTGATCATTTCAAACAAGCAGTCGTTTTATTGTGACAGAAATGTACTTTTCGGTTTCGTAATTTCCAGATGGACGAGGGTCGCCTGATAAGTGGCTCATATGATCATACACTGAAAATGTGGTCTGTTGAAACCGGCTCATGCACAAAAACCTTAGTGTTAGTTTCAGTTTTGCGATTAGAACTTGTATGATAATATTGATATTTGTCGGGTTATTCTATTCATCTGTAAGATATTGAATGTCCTTTCAATCGGTAATGAAAGTAATGGAGATAATAGTAGTAGTAATATTATTAATCGTATTGGATCAATCGAGCACCAGCAAATCATTTTAAATCATGTAAGCAACGTTAACTTCCCCAATTACAGTAACCAGAAAATTCATGCGGGGCACGTATGATTCGAACGAATAATTAGTGTCCGATTAAATGCTTCCGTTTGATTGATCGAAGTAGTAATCTTAATTTCAGAGGTCATAATAATGCAGTCTTATGTCTTCAGTCGGATGGTGCTACGTTATTCTCAGGTTCATCAGATTTTTCAATTAAGGTATCATTCATTCNGCACACGAGAATGCCGTAACTTGTCTGCGTTTCGATAACGAGCGAATTGTTTCGGGCTCTGTTGATCGGACAATTAAGGTTGATTGATGTCTTATTTGAGTAGTTTTGTTTTGTGTCGTTGATTATTATTTGTGGAGTTTTTCGAAAGTTTTAATTCAATTGAGAGACTTTGTGGATGTTTGATAGATGCGTATGTAAGGTACGCACAAAGTAAAAGTGCTTCATTTACATCAATTCAAAGTTGCAGATGTGGGATCTGAGAAGTGGACGTTGTTTGCAAACATTGGATTGGAAACTTAGTGAAGGTCATACAGGCGTGGTACGGTGTCTCCAGGTGGACGCCTGGCGAATTGTTTCTGCAGCAGACGATCGGACGATTAAGGTGATTAGTCGTTTTGTTTTGACTAAATCAGTTTTCGACGGGAAGATTCAATTTTAGATTCGTTTTTATTCATTCATTCTGCAACAGAATTAAGCATGATATTGGAGAAATCAGTAAAATTATATCCTAAAAGATCAGGGAAATTTTTCAAACAAGTCGAAATCATCAGTTTTTTCAAGTGACATTTTTTGAGTTTAGGTATGGAAACTGCATTCTGGTGAGAGACTGTGTACGCTTCATAGTCATACTGATGGTGTAACGTGCGTTCAATTCAACGATCATCAAATAGTGTCTGGATCATATGATAAAACGGTGAAGTTATGGGATTTTAGTGTTTGTTGAGGGTCGTTGGTAAATTATTTATAGGAATGACAAATGTATTTAATTAGCGATTGTGTTCGCGTTAGAATTTGACGCAATCTGCAGTGATTCTCAGCAAAAACTTACAAGCCTGCAAGCACAGAGATTACATCCCGAGATTGTTTATGTAATCAGATTAGACAATTTGAAGCGCATTGCACAATAGCGTTTTTGCTTTAACCGGCGCGGTCATAGTTGATATTATTGCTATTGTTTATATCATCAGTGCTGGTTTCTTATTATTATTATCATTTTTGTTTCCATTCAACAATTCAGAGAAAATGAGCAATTTCTGTTGAGAATCTGAATTTTCCTGTTTCTGCATAGTGATCTTGAATGAAACGAGGAAATTTTCCGATGATTTGAATTGTTTGTGCAAAACGTATGCTTGATCTGGTCTGGAAGTTATTAAGAAGTCATTTTCAAATTGATATCTAATCTGTCAACATTTCATAGTCTTCCCACTTGTGATCTGTTGTATATTTGTGTATTTTTCCATATTCCTATTGCATAATCTTGTCATTCATTCGAGGAAGTATTAACAATGGTCGAAATGATATCCGCATCACATCCGCTCATTTGTTTCATATGAAAGAGTTCGGTGTATAGCGAATATTATAAATGTGCTCGCGCTTTATCTCTGGTCATTTTTTTTTCATTTTCCATGGCATCATAACAGTGTAACAGTATTATTTGTGGTGTTCAAGTGGTTTACATTCTCTCACATATTACATGTTCTTATTATTTTGATTATTGAAATAATTCTTTTTGATTATTTTCTTTAAACTGGATTAACCGTATTGAGCTAGCTGAAGAGATTATTTGGCGATCTTATAAAGCAATTCAGAAATCGTCTATTGATCTGTAGATGCGTGTTATATTTGACAGTATTTATGCATAGGTGAAGGGTTCATTTGAAGCTGATGCATGTTAAACGTGTGGATATGATAGATATGCATCAGTTCGTATCAGATGATTAAAATTACAATTAGCATATGTTTGGAAATCATTGAACATCGAATGAAGCGTTTAACCGTATCATCGTGAATTAATAATAAGACGGCAGCTGCTTTTGGCTAAATGCGTATGAGAAATTTATCCACAGTGAATTTATTTTTCTTTGATTCGAATTTGTTTCTGGCCAGTTTATTGGAAGTTTCGAGTTTTGATCAACTAGTTCTCGATGAGCCATCATATGATCAGTTTCGTTGGGATATCTGTAATGTTATGCTCTGCTGAAGATTCGTTCGCTTCCTTAATGTGAAATATTTCTTAATTGTTTCCTCACCTTGTTTTCGCTATTACTCACTGTGTTAATGTGCTGCTTCATGTCGTTCAGTGTGTTCTTGAGCTGTTCAATTGATAATGATCGAGGAGCAAGCATTACTTTCGTTCCTATTTCTGCAAAATCTCGTTTACAAGCAATGCTAACTTATCAATTTTATTTTGGTTGAATTTGTTTGTGTCGCTTCATTTCATTTGTATGATTTGTTGAATAAAACCGATTGATGTGCGTAGCTTTCTTCATCATTCGAATTTCATTTATCGACGTTACTGAGTCGTCACAATGGCCAAATGCTATATCTGATTGTGTTCGAATTGATGTTCTTAAATCTTTTGTTACAAAATTTAGAATTGTGTCTTAAATTAAGTGAACATAAGATATTAGTGCGTCCAAATGAATTAAGAAGTCATCGCATGATCAAGTGATCTAATGAAACGCGATGACAGGTGAAACGGGAACAGAAGAAAACGATATGGACACAGGCGGTAAGCGAGAGGAGGAGGCGACATCTTCGTGTAATCGCTTGGAATCATCGAGCGATCAGGGAAGCAGTAGTGGTGATGAAGATGAAGAAACGGTTGAGCTTCCTTGTAGATTAGGTATCATTCCATTTTGTTTTCGTTCTTTACGGAAGATTTCATTCATGTATGATTCTTTTATATCATATTCCATATGTTACTTGTTATTTGGTTTGAAGATGAAAATCTTTGATATTTAGTTTGATTGTTTGATTTCTTATCCAACTGTTTCCCTGTTGATCTTTTGCAATTCAAACCAGATGAATTCAAATCGTTATTGCATGTGAAATATTATGAAGTGATCATTTTTGTATTGTTTTATTGGTGAAACAATGTTGAAGGTATGTTCGACTTCAAGCAGTGTGATCCGAAGCGGTGTTCGGGTCGTAAATTGGCTCGATTCGGCCTCATATCGCTTCTCAAATTGGGCAGCAAATTTCCGGGTTTGTTGTTGACGCCAACGGCTCAGTGTACAATTTCGAGTGCTGATCGTGATTTTGTACTTTCAAACGGCTTAGGCGTTGTTGACTGCAGTTGGCATCAGGTAGGTAGAGATCGCTCGTTTATTTACATAGACGACTGTGATATTTGTTTTGCATATTCATAGTTTTTGTTTGCGATTAGTGTTATCAGTTGATAAGATTGAGCAAAATTTATGCAGCTTTTCGCTTTGTCCACCAATTTTTGTTCAAAAATAAAATATAGGATCGAAACTGTTCATTTCTCCGTCAGTTGTCGATTCATCTGCACATTTGTTTATTTATTTGCCGATGTGTGCAGTAAATTATTCATATATTGTTTGCACATTTGATGTTATTTGCATGTCTTCACATTCATTGTTTGCATCTGCAGATCAGTCACACCCCGATGCATCGTGCAAAATCGGCCCGGCAACGTTTGTTACCGTACTTGATCGCGGCCAATCCGGTGAATTTCGGCAAGCCATGTGAGCTGAGTTGTGTCGAAGCATTGGCGGCCGCGTTGTATATTATTGATGAGATGAACGCAGCCGAATTGTTGATGTCAAAGTTCAAATGGGGTCCAACATTTTTGACGATGAATTGCGAGCTGTTGGACTGTTATCGCAAATGTAAAACACCGTCAGAGATTATCGCAGCACAGAAGAAATACCTGGAGAGAATTGAGGCAGAAGATGCCGAGAAACGGCATCGACCAATTGATTTACCTCCCTCTGATGACTCGTCATCGGAAGATAACGACTGATCTAGTGTTCGATTGAGATAAGATATAGGCCATGATCAGTATAGGCTATCAAGCGATGAAATGTGTTGGGATGAAAAGGGAGTACATAGATGATTGAATTACATACACAACGTGTTTAGCAGTTCCATATTGCATCAGTTGTAGTCATGGTACTGGATTAACGGTAATGAGGTTATCAGTTTTATTTGTTGGCATTTATGTCGCAGAGTGTTTTTCTTTATCGTTTAATTGTAAGTGCACTTGGTTATGATCACAAAGATATTACTAACAATTTGTTGAAAGATATTTGAACTTTCAATTTACGCATCCTAAAAAGCACAGACAGCAGAAGTTTGGTCGGAATACTCGTCTGTCACAGAACTGAATTCGTTGTTGTATTTTTTGATTGATCCTTTCTTAGTCTGTGATATCGACGTTGATTCTAGCGTGCAGTCTGAACAAATTCATACATATGGTATTGCTGTCATCCTTGTTATTATTATTATGGTTGACCGTAATTAAGATTTTCCTTAAGTTTAGCATGGACACCATGACTTCGGCATCATTGCTATATTGTCATATTGGTCGTTGTCGTATTTCGCTATTATTGATTATGATTGTTATTGTTATTATTGTTCCGAATGTCGATGTTCCAGCTAATGTCGCTTCTCAACGTTTCGTTTTTGATTCGGTCATTTTTGTAGTAATAAAACTGATTTTAAGAAGGAATGGATGTGAGCGATTCGGACGTTTCAGCTGAACGAAATCAAATTGAAAAAATGGTACCAGAATTGGGATTTGGTTATGATTGTGAGAAGGAACCGTTCCAGCAAGGTGCTGAGGCGAGACTTTATCGATGCACGTTTTTGGGCAAGAGTGCCGTTTTGAAAGAACGTTTCCCAAAAAAATATCGGTTAGTTGTTGAAAATTATCATCTTTGGGTTGAACATTGCATAGCAGAAGGCAAATGTGCTCAATGTCTGTCTGTTGCAGTAACGATGGTAACAACCACGTTAGCACAAATTTTGATGATGCTCTTGATAATTATCAGTTTTGCCTTACCTTGTTCGTTCATTTTTGTTTG